ATCCTTGGACCAATAGGAACGATCCCCGGACTAAAGCTGATGCTCCGGTCTTCACATGCTCTCGAAGAAAGGACAAGATTATCGAGTGGATGCTGTGATGATGGGACACGGTCGAGCATGGTGGCATGATGGCTCGGCCTTGGATGCCCTCAGCAAAATGAAGCAAAATGTAGGACGCTAAGGCATGCGGTAGCATCAACATGTAATGATTGCTGATATTACATTACGATCATGCCGGGAGTTACAACCTGCACACTTGGGTTTGACGAGCTTTGAGCGTTTCCGCTCTGCTTTTCCATCTTTTCCGCCCCGGCAGGAGGATCCTCTGGTCGACCCAGCCGGGTTTTGATCAATTGATTGATGTTTGTGAGATGCCAGTCATGTGGTTCAAATACAGGCACACAATACCCGGAATTTTCAAAATTGAAGATAGGTCTGGCAATACCTGGGTCGTTTGCTAGAAGGAACTTGGGCTCATGAAGTTTGAACAATGAGGAGCAAGTCGGCCCACCATGGCCCAGAGGCCCGGACGTAAAATGAACAGACAACGCAAGCAAGTGCTTGGTTCCTCACGTAAGGAAATTCCTCCTCCCTCCCTGGCCAAGTATCTTCTAAAACTGCCGCGGAAAAGGGAGACTTCCATGTACCAAGCATTTTTGAGATCATGCTATACGTGAGGATCTGGCAATTACACATGAAACTCTACCACCGGGCAACCGCTTGTGATCTCTGATACCAGCGCATTGTTGATCCCTCTTCATTATTGTTGACCCTCGGTCCCAACCTTACAGCCACTAATCACTAACCTGACACTGGCCCAGCTCCCTCCCTGTTTCATGACAGAAGGGTCCTAAGCTCCCTACTACTTTGAAGTCGACGAGCATGGGGCCATCGTGCGTCATCCACTCTTGGATGACCTGGCGCCACTTCAATTCAAGATCCGAAATGCGAAGGCCGGAATCCTGACACGAGCCTTTGGCAAGTCCTCCTCGTTGTCGCATTGGACCGCATGTATTCCATAAGCCTGTCATTTTTGCGCCTTGCTCTTCAGGACCTTTGCATCTGGTCATGCGCCGTTGTACCCCTCTTGTCCGCAAACCTGTATGATGGAATATGATTGAATATGGAATATGATGGATTGCTAGTCGGCCGGGTTATGGCAGGCACGCCTTGGCCAGTGCGACAAAATCTGGGTTCGAGTTGGTGACCTGCAGCATCTGTTCAGCATGACGACTCAGCGATGCTCCGGCCCAACCTGACTTCCGATCTGATATGCTGCCAGGAAGCGCTAATGTATCGTCCCTCAAAGAATAAACGCTGCCATACCCAAACCATCTGCTGCCTGATGCAAGGTCAACTCAGAAATATGTACGTCGTCCGTGAAGCCACACCTGTCATCGTTCATCACTGCCATTTTTATGGGCAAGTTGTACCTGCAACAGGAATATTGCCAAATGAAAGAGCCCTTCGCTCTCTCGCTCCGAGCTACTGACATGCACCATGGCTTGCTGACTGGTACATGTTGCCGCCACAAAGTCAACAATTATCCAGAATAGCAAGCCTGCAAGTCTGCTCCCAGTCCAAAAACCAAACAAATGAGGCCTCTTCACAGTCTGAAGATCCATGTTGGTCATGCCAAATGAGCCATCCCCATCGATCAAGATTGTCATAGCCTCGGGGTTGGCCACCTGCACATGAATTTAGTGGCTGCATCACGTGCTATCACGGGCCTCTCTGCCTGTGTGCCAATGGCAAACGGAAGTCCCGCCCCCATGACGCCCAAGCTGCCACTGGTGATGAAGGTTCGTGGCCTGTGCTGGTCTTCACAAAAACCTGCTTATATGCGGGAATGTTGCTTCGAATCGAGTTGCTTGATCCATCGCAGGAATTGACATGCCATCATCTGGTGGTTGCCGACGCCCGTCGCGACAAAGACGTTTTTCTTGCTGAAAACATCTTGTTCGTGAAGATATCTGTTGAGTTCAGCTAGAACCTGATTGTCAAGATGTGCAAATCTTGTCCGGCTTCAACTTCAACCCTCTGACAAGCCTGCTGCACTTTGATCTGTCCACCAGCAGCTTTGACATAATCGAAGGCATGTTGCTCCTTCCAGTCCTGATGATTTGAGCATTCCCATACTTCAGCAAACATGCGCAGCAGAAGGGACTATCTGAAGCCAGGCCTGACATTGTTTCAGCCAATCCTCACGATCTCCGGCAGACACAAGAGGTTCCAAAGCCTGTGCAAGATGTTGACCTGATGTTGTTATTCACGGAACATGCTTTTGTGCCTGAAGTGCATGCTCTGTGTCTGCCCAGACCGCAACAGTCGGCTGGACGACCTGCCATGCCAGTCCCAGTTGGGATGTTGACTTCTAGGCCCGTCCTCTGCAACTCTGTAGTTAATGTTCATCCCATTGTGAGTGCAGAGCGTGTGAAACTTCAAGCTGTCACCGCATGCTGAAATAAGCAACCTTGGACATTTCAGAATTATAGGAATCTTGGATGCAAAACCGTTTTCCAACTGCTCTCGCAACATTCGAAACAGACCTACAGTCCACCCCTTCCAGCACAGGCTTCCTCGAGCCCAGACACAATAACGTATGCATGTGCGTAGCACCAAATAATCTGCCGTTGCCATTGCAACACCTGACTTGGTACAGCCACCGTGCCTTCCCAAACGAAGACTTGTCAATGTTGATGTGGATGATGCCGCCAGTGCCTTCCTTCTCAGCTGCTTTTGCCTGCGAGCACAAACAGCAGCAAATGCGTAGCTCAACTTGTACAGATGCGGGACTCTCCACGTGCCGGTGTGCTGAACGTGTCAACTCCTGCTGGACATGATTTACCATGTAGAGGACCTGATTGCGTGAGTGAGTGAGTGAGCGAGCAGCATCCACAAGGTTGGAGTCAGTGGCGCCATGCCTACGGCTCTGTCCCTCCCGGCTTCACTGGGGGCTCTGACTACGTCATTGCTCCCTTCAATTGGAATTCCCGACTAGCTGGCGCCCCTCGGGCTCCAAAAACACTACTGCCCATGGCAGGGGAAAGGACAGGGAGGGGCCATCTCAGTCACTTTCACGGGCCAAAGTATGAGCTCAGTTTAACAGGCAGACTAATCCGTTATGTCTGGGTACTGTCAGCACAACAGATGGACCCTTTTTCGTTTTGCTACATGCGCCAGCAGTCAGGCGGCAGAATTCAGTCAGTTGCAGGATGCCACACACCAGGTCATAAACCATAGAAATCCTAGACAGGGACTGCAGAACTTTCTACAAACAGAAGAAAACCACATCCAACGACCGATGCAGCTCCACAGGCATGCCGGGCAGGAGCAGCAAACCAAGCCCAAACACGAAAGTCCAGACGCAAAGTCCAAGCCATGGCGGAAAACTCCAGGAGAAGGGACAAGCCTAGGACAGGAAGAGACAGAAGGCAGTCTTTCAACCCACACAGAAAAACTCCAGGCGGGGAAAGGGCATGGATCGCGGGTGCTCAACGACCAGACGCCCAGACTGACAGCTGATAGCCAATGGCTGCATCAGACGGATTTGATGCAGCCTCGCCATTGCGTCTGCCTGTTAAACATCCAGACCCAGATATACATACAGAAGAGCTTAACAGGCAGACTCGTCCGCTGCGTCAGGGTTAGATCAGAGAAAAGGAAAGCTGCAGCGCAGGCGGACCCCTTCTGTTTTGCTACACACGCTAGAAATCAGGCCGCAGAGTTCAGTCAGTGGCAGGATGCCACAGACCAGGTCAGAAGCGGTAACAGTCCCGGACAAAGACTGCAGAACCTAAGCCCTAAGCACTCTCTGTAATCTCGGCTGCGCCGATGCTTGGTGCAACGGCA